TTTCTAGCTTCTCAGATTCCCGAGTTATGAACTTGCCCGAAAAAAACTTTGGCGGCCCGGCACGCGAGTACCACACTTACCCGGGAGCTGGCTTTGAGCCCATTAGCACCCAATTGGACGGGAAACATCCCCTTATGATTTCAGCCTTCTAGCTTCTCAAATTACCAAGTTATGAAGTTGCCCGAAAAAAAATTTGGCAGTCCCGTACGCGAGTACGACGCTTACCCGGGGGCTGGCTTTGAGCTCATTAGCACCCACTTGGACGGGGAACATAGAGTTTCCTACCTCTCATTAGCACCCACTTGAACGGGGAACATACAGTTTCCCACCTCTCGGCCGCAACAGGCTAAGGGAGCTCCACCTCTGGTTACTGGTTAAAAGGCTGACGAACAAAGACCCCGTCACCGCCTGGCTCTGGTGGAGTATTCTGGGTTCTGCTCGTGGCTCGATAGGCAGCAGCCCTGCCCAGAAGCGCGGGTCTTGAAAGGTAGCCGTCCTTGGCCAGGCGCCTACCTATTTTCATGGTCAGCAAACCATCAGTATAGTTTAAACAATGCCGGGTCCTCCTCCCGACCGTCCCGGGATGTTCCGGCTTTATCTAGGGATGGTCGCATAATCAGAAACGTTTTCTGCACTGATCGTCATCTTAATATTCTTTGGATCCCTACATCTGATAAGTTCAGTCGAATTCACGCAACAGTTCCCTGCGGCAGCAACTGCCTCTGTTGCCGTATGGTTGTCTCCTCTGGTTTGGTACATGCCACCATCAGTGGCTGTGCCTTTATTCCCCTTTGTCAACCTGATGTGCCCCTTACCTGTTATACAAAGGGCATCATTTATTTGATTACATGCAAGACTTGTGTGCAGTACGTTGGGCAAACATCCAGGAGTCTTCGTGAAAGAGCAAGGGAACATCGGTTGGGTGCCCTTCGTAAAGCCCACACTATTCTATACAGGCATTTTCAGCAACCTCACCATGGGCCTGATTCATTAAACAGAGAAATAGTGGAAACAGTAGACACCGGCCGATTCTCTCTACAGGACCGCGAACTGTTTTGGATTAAGGTTATTAATTCTGTCTATCCGTACGGACTAAACGATTGTATTAAATCACACGATACCGTTTCCGATGGACTCCTTCCATTTAACTTGGGTAAGAACCCATACTTCCAGATACCCCTGCCGCGCAGGAGCCGACACCACGGGAAAAGAAGACGACGGGCCCGCGCCCCGGATGTCACTTTAGTCGACTGGGCTGTTTCCTGTTCCGTAACTAGCCCTTCTCAACAGACTGTGCTACGCCAATAAAAGAACCTTGTCCCTACTTAGATGTCGCGTGGCTGCTGGTACGTTGTCGTTTGCTAATAACTGTATTCTCCAGGGATGTCTTTTGAACCGTTGCAACGTTTCGAAACGACAAGTACAACCCCGCAAGGTAGAATACGCTGTTGTTTGCTATCCCGGACATGTATTTGAGCCCCTTCATCTCAGATCTATTTTCCGAAACACCACAGCTCGTCAACTTTTCCCTTGGATTACCATTTCATTTAGGTACGATAAACAGGTCAGCAGTCGAATTTTGGACTACAACACGTTTCTCAGGAACCTAAACAGTAACCCCACACAATTAATCACCCTGCTTCAGTTTCCATGTCACTGCTTATCTTTTCCCTTCATCTATCCACCTTCTGGACACATCGTCACGGGGTGCTTGAATATAGTTCCTGACGCTACATTACGTTCCGTCTTGTCCAAGGGTGTTAGCTGTAGGAAACCCAGTCCTCGCCGATTTGAAGATGTACGTACGAACGTGTCTTCCGCACTTGACGACTTCATTCGCAAGAACAGTCGCGTTCATCGACTCACGATAGACCATTATGAGGATTTTAAACGAAGGATTTTAGCTGTTCTACAATGGCAAAGTACTGCTTGTCGGGGTAGTATACCATTTTCATGGTCGGGGTTCGGGACTCCCTTACGCTCCCTACATGATCACTTCATTATCACCACTGTTGACAAAGCATCTAGTAACTACATCTTCATTTGCAAGAAACTTTATGCCCAGTTATTATGTGATGAACTGGGATACACAGCTTCTGGCAGGATTACTGGTAATACCGTTTATAGTCCGACGGTACACAGCATTGAGAATCTCATCAACATTCACAAGGCGCTCTTTTCAAATTGCCCCCACGGATGTCGATAACTGCGTTCCTATTCTTCATGCTGTACCAAAACTGCATAAATATCCTTATCAATACCGTTTCATAGCTGGTGCGCATCGATTTAAACTACGCCCTCTGGCATTGGTAGCCCATCGGATTCTCACACTCTTACGTTCTCATTCCCGGAATTATTGCATCAGAACTACTGAGCGCACTGGTCCGAGAGTCTACTTCAGCATCCGCAGCTCCTTAAATGTGGTCAATCAGCTTGCTGTCTTCAGTGATCCCATCGAACACTTACATAGTGCCGATTTCAGCAATCTCATCACAACTCTGTCTCACGGTGTTATTCACGAGTGTCTTTGCTGGCTTGTTGACCTGTGTTTCTCCAACGCTGGGATGGACTGGTTGGCGGTCTCTGATTCGAATTGTTGGTTTACTAGCAACACCTCACTTCGCACCGTCACCTACAGCTCCAGAGAGGTTAAGTCATTACTCCAAACCATACTGAGTGAATCTTACGTAA